CCCATTTATTCCCCGCTGCTCTCTTGCTGTGGTTGAACCCTACTACTATTCCTGTGTGTGTAAGAGCAGCCCTGATATTCCCCACTGCTCTTTTGCTGTGGTTGAACCCTCTTACTGTACCTGTGTGTGTAAGAGCAGCCCTGATATTCCCCACTGCTCTCTTGCTGTGGTTGAACCCTCCTACCATACCTGTGTGTGTAAGAGCAGCCCTGATATTCCCCACTGCTCTCTTGCTGTGGTTGACACTGGCTTCCAGTTGAAGCTCGCATCTGCTACAAGACCATGGTGCTTGCCTACGGAGCTGTGAGGGGAACGGCACCTCCGTACCTTCAGGCTCTGATCAGTCCCTACACCCAAACGAGGGCACTGCGTTCATCCACTTCTGGCCTGCTGGCTCCCCTACCTCTGCGGAAGCATAGTTCCCGCTCAGCCCAGTCAAAACTGTACGCTGCTCTGGCACCCCAATGGTGGAACAAGCTCCCTCACGACGCCAGGACAGCGGAGTCACTCACCACCTTCCGGAGACATTTGAAACCCCACCTCTTTAAGGAATACCTGGGATAGGATAAAGTAATCCTTCTACCCCCCCCCTTTACTCCAACCCCCCCCCCCCCCCCAAAAAAAAAAAAAAAAACTTTGTAAAGTGGTTATCCCACTGGCTATAAGGTGAATGCACCTATATGTAAGTCGCTCTGGATAAGAGCGTCTGCTAAATGACGTAAATGTAAATGTAATGTAAATGTTGAACCCTCTTACTATACCTGTGTTTCACTATTCCCCTCCTTTCTGACCAAAACCAGATCCCCCCATCTCAGTCTGTGTGGTAATTTCAGACACAGACACTTGTCCTCTGGTACGAAAGCAGAGGCACGTACGTCCTGGAGACAGCCAGCGAGACAGTCAAAGACATTCTACAATAACTGACCATCACATACAGTACTGTAATACAATGACCAAAGGACATGCAGAAAGCACACGGACAAAACTCACATTATCAGTGATGTCATTCATAACGTTCTACTCTCTAGTACACATAACCCTTCTCAGGGACACACTCAGATAAGCTCAGAGGCTCTGTGGCTTTATGACTACTTGTGTTGTATTATAAAATGTTCTGACTTACCAACCTGAGAAGCTTTTGTTTTCATAGTGTAATGTAGATACGTATTGTTCTGTTCTCATGGAGAGATGTGACTAGAGCTGGGGAATGATGGTATAACATGGTCCCATAGTACTATGGGCCTTTAGTTAACATGGTCCCACAGTACTATGGGCCTTTAGTTAACATGGTCCCACAGCACTATGGGCCTTTAGTTAACATGGTCCCACAGTACTATGGGCCTTTAGTTAACATGGTCCCACAGTACTATGGGCCTTTAGTTAACATGGTCCCACAGTACTATGGGCCTTTAGTTAACATGGTCCCACAGTACTATGGGCCTTTAGTTAACATGGTCCCACAGTACTATGGGCCTTTAGTTAACATGGTCCCACAGTACTATGGGCCTTTAGTTAACATGGTCCCACAGTACTATGGGCCTTTAGTTAACATGGTCCCACAGTACTATGGGCCTTTAGTTAACATGGTCCCACAGTACTATGGGCCTTTAGTTAACATGGTCCCACAGTACTATGGGCCTTTAGTTAACATGGTCCCACAGTACTATGGGCCTTTAGTTAACATGGTCCCACAGTACTATGGGCCTTTAGTTAACATGGTCCCACAGTACTATGGGCCTTTAGTTAACATGGTCCCACAGTACTATGGGCCTTTAGTTAACATGGTCCCACAGTACTATGGGCCTTTAGTTAACATGGTCCCACAGTACTATGGGCCTTTAGTTAACATGGTCCCACAGTACTATGGGCCTTTAGTTAACATGGTCCCACAGTACTATGGGCCTTTAGTTAACATGGTCCCACAGTACTATGGGCCTTTAGTTAACATGGTCCCACAGTACTATGGGCCTTTAGTTAACATGGTCCCACAGTACTATGGGCCTTTAGTTAACATGGTCCCACAGTACTATGGGCCTTTAGTTAACATGGTCCCACAGTACTATGGGCCTTTAGTTAACATGGTCCCACAGTACTATGGGCCTTTAGTTAACATGGTCCCACAGTACTATGGGCCTTTAGTTAACATGGTCCCACAGTACTATGGGCCTTTAGTTAACATGGTCCCACAGTACTATGGGCCTTTAGTTAACATGGTCCTACAGTACTATGGGCCTTTAGTTAACATGGTCCCACAGTACTATGGGCCTTTAGTTAACATGGTCCCACAGTACTATGGGCCTTTAGTTAACATGGTCCTACAGTACTATGGGCCTTTAGTTAACATGGTCCCACAGTACTATGGGCCTTTAGTTAATTCAGCTAGGTTTCCTTTCTCTTGATGGGATGGAGTTATTCATCCTGTCTATCTATCTCTCTCGCTCTCCCATACGCACACACGCACGCACGCACGCACACACACACACACACCACACACACAATGATCCTTAATCCTAATGCACCCTATCCAAAGGTAAGATCAAATATCTGCTGGCATTTTATATCTGATGGATGTTTGATGTGCGATATCACTGATAGGAGAGACTGTCAATCCAGTCAATGGAGGATCTAATTTAAGTTACCTGGTAACCGTCCAAGAGGATTGGTCCATCACTTTACATTCACGATAAACTAAATCTTAAATCCATAGACATTGCATTTACATTTTAGTCATTTAGCAGATGCTTTTATCCAGAGCGACTTGAAGTTAGTGCATTCATCTTAAGATAGCTGGGTTAGACAACCACATATCACAGTCACAGTAAGTAAATGTTACCCTCAATAAAGTAGCTATCAGCAAAGTCAGTGCTATTAAGATAAGACAAGTGCGAGTGTTAGTTCAAGAAGTCACTTACACGTCAAGTATGCATCGTTTGCAAGTAAGCATTCAGTACCTATCTCCATCTATTATTGTAGTGTAGGACTACTTGACAAACGTAGCATGAGATCCGATATTCATACCTGATTAAACACTGCCATCAACTTGGGGAATAGAAATAGCAGAAGAAAGAGACTTATTTACAGAGAGAGATAGAAGGAAGGAGAAGACGAGATAGGAGAGGAGAGAGAGTAGAGAGAGAGAGAGAGAGAGAGAGAGAGAGACGAGAGCGAGAGAGAGACCGAGAGAGAGAGAGAGAGAGAGAGAGAGGGAAGGAAGGATTTAGAGAGAGTGAGAATTGAGAGAGAACACAAACCGACAGGACACTAGAAGGATCATGTTGGACAGTATGACACTGAGTGAGCCATATGTCTCTTTATTGATGAAATGCTTGACTGCTTATCCACAGCGCACAATCTGGGGTTAAAACACGCAATACTGAGTCTGCTCACTTTACAGTACGACAAAGAGGAAAGAGGGGCACTGGGGTTTTCAGAGTACGGTACATAAATATGAGTGAGTTTATACTTGCACATAGAGAGCCACTGAACAGTCCTCTGGTTATTTACAAGTTGCTGCCAGAGGGGTTGGGGGGCAAGGCAAAACACACAGTCTTGAAGGCTCTGCATGGTCAATCTGACATCTGAGGTGGCTGCGTTGCAGCCTCTGCAGACGTCAATGCTTTCATACTTCTTGCGTTTAGCGGAGCAGGGCAGAGTTATTGTGAAGGAAGTTGTCAAGGAAGTGAGTTTGTATTTATACAGGATGTACCGCCCCAACCTACCATCATCCAATCATGTCAATGTGGAGCTATACGGAGCCCTCCGCGTTGTTACACAATTTGATAGGCGCAGGGCGATGCGGTAGGGAGCTTGATTTGGCCTCTGCATGGAAACAGGAAGTGGGAGTATCCTCCTGGCCGCTGAGGGCAGAGTTTATAGAAAGGAGAGGGAGGGACCAAGGCCATACAGGAGCCAGGGACTAGCTATACATTGTCTGTAGACACTGATTTAAGGCCAGTTTTGCGTTGTTTCCCAACATGGTGATTTGGGGAGGGGAAGCTGATCCTAGATCTGTGGTAAGTAATGTCCTGATACTCTACAGTGGCTTCCTCTCCTCAGCTACTGGACAGGTCAAAACAACATTGGCAGGAACTCCACCCAGTCTACTAGTGGAAAAGGGACAAATTCCACCATATTAAATCGACTATCCAGTCAGATAAATGGTTTACAAAGGAGAGAGAGCAAAGAAAGAAAGTATTTTTTAAAACACTGGGACACAGCAAGGGAGTAAGGTGTGTCTGGGGGGTGAGGAGTTGGGGGGCTGATAGTGGGAGCATCAGGTGGCCAGCCACAAGCGTTCGTTCACGTCTCTTAAGTTAAAATGGAGCTCTTTTAGCTAATGACACACTATAGTATACACACTGTACAATCACCACTGAGCTGCCACTGGGTCCACAGGGGTGGGGAGAGGGGCATCTGCATGTGGGGTTCAATACGCTAACATTCAATATTGAAATAAAACACAGGAGCAACACATACACAGACACAGACACAGACAGACCGACAGGGGTTAATGGTTCACAGTCACACAATGTACAAGGAACTTCACCTTTTTATAAAATCATACAGGATCCATATTATAAATGCCTTCGGCTATAATTCAAAACATGTTAAGTCAAAGAGTATTCTGTTCTTCTTGAACTGCAGAGAACACTGAGAGAAATAAAATGTAACCACGCATACAATGGTGGCGGAGTTGGTGGCACAGTTGTGTATGTGTGTGTGTGTAATGTGTGTGTGTGTAATGTGTGTGTGAGAGAGAGCGATAGAGAGAGCGATAGAGAGAGCGAAGGAAAGAGCGAGCGAGTCTGTGTGTAAATGTGTGTGTCTGGTGGAGGAAAGGGTGAAGTGGGAGCAGAGGGGGGAAATCTTGCCTCCCTTCAAAGAAAACAAAATAAAAAGTGCAAAGGTAAAAGTGAATTCAAGTAATGTGTGCTCTGTCCACAGGAGAGGGGTGAAAGGTGGGAAGGAGGGGAGGGTCCTGTGGCCTCAGCGGAGCCGTCCTATTGGCTTTCCCTGTGCTCCGTCAGGCTGACGGGCGTGTCTGTGGGCGTTTCCCCACGGGCGGCTCTAGAGAGAAGCTCCACCCACTTGGCCTGTACTTCTGCATCCTGGGCGCTGAACAGCAAAGCCTGCTGGGAGTGACTCAGCTGGAACGTGTGCTTGAGCTCTGATTTCTCTGTTGCCGATGGCGCTGCCACGCTCACCTCAAACCCTGGAAGGGGTATGGCCCGTGCCCCGCGAGAGTCCTGAAAAGACACAACAAACAGGACAATCAGTCAAGAAGAAGCATACCAGTGCAGTTTTAATAATAATAATAATATGCCATTTAGCAGATGCTTTTATCCAAAGCGACTTACAGTCATGCGTGCATACATTTTTGTGTATGGGTGGTCCCGGGGATCGAACCCACTACCCTGGCGTTACAAGCGCCGTGTTCTACCAGCTGAGCTGTTTTCCCCTCTTTAATGCAGGGGCCTAGATTGTATTTCATAAGGCACTTTCATAAGCTCCCTCCCCCTCCTCGTTCCCCAGTTTCTATCAAATCATAAAAAAATGCTCATCTAACAATCATTAATCACTGATTTCTGAAGCCTTTGGGGCTTTCACCAAATTGTGCCAAAAAACGGTTCATTACGCTTTTAGTGACATCTACTGGTCAGCAATGAAAAACAGTGTTTTATGTTCATATACGATTTATACGATTTTTCCACAATATTCATCAAATCTCTGTGGCGCGGCGGTTAGTCTCAGGTCTTAGTAGCCTACTATCAGTTACCATACAGGTTTGCACCTTCCATCATGCTTCCATTTTTTGCTGTGAATCCCTTTTTTTGCTGGCAAAAACTGTAAATCTATGGCATAATTTTAGATGCTTAAGACAGAAGCTTATGCTTTACTAAATAAAACTATTTTTTTGCACAACAATGTGCAGAAAGTGTGGTTTCACATAAAACTATTTTATAAATAATATGACTTCTACGGTATTCGATCCCATTCCCTGTCGTCTGAGTTTTCTGGTCCCAGAGACCCCGACTCTACCTGATGAATTACCGTTCAGGTAACGTTCCATGAAAAAATCCTAACTACATTTTAAGTAGGGTGTCAAGTAGAGGTCGGTGTTTGAAAGCAGCTTGGAATCAAAGAATGCACCGGAACCATGGCGAAATCAGTGGGATCTCGCATTTAGCAACACAATTTGAATAACCATGTGATCAAACTAAGCTTCGGACGTCATTTGATAATATTACTTTGAAACGAGCATCGGTACATTGTGTCGGATCAGTAGTGCTTTGAAAACTGCATCGGAGCATTGGCGCTCCGGTATCAATCATCCCTTCACTAGCTTTCAGCCCCGGATATGTCTGCATACTGTACCTATACTATACAGGACAGTGGTGAAGCACCCTCAGGAGGGGGGGGGGGGGTTAGAAGGATAAAGTAATCCTTCTAACCCCCCCCCTTACCCCACCCCACCAAAAAAAAAAAAAAGAAAGGTGAATGCACCAATTTGTAAGTCGCTCTGGATAAGAGCGTCTGCTAAATGACGGAAATGTAAATGTAAGTACTGTAGTTAGAGGTTTCCCCTAACAATTGACACAGGTTCAGTTATTTTCCATCCCATCAAGGGTTAAAATTCCACCTGGTGAGTCCCACCCACCTTTTGGAAGAGGCCCTCTGGTCACCTCTGGTCACACAGTGCAATAATATAGTAATACCACCATGGTGATGACTGTGTAATAATAGAGTAATACCACCATGGTAATGACTGTGTAATAATAGAGTAATACCACCATGGTAATGACTGTGTAATAATAGAGTAATACCACCATGGTAATGACTGTGTAATAATAGAGTAATACCACCATGGTAATGACTGTGTAATAATAGAGTAATACCACCATGGTAATTACTGTGTAATAATAGAGTAAGACCACCATGGTAATGACTGTGTAATAATAGAGTAATACCACCATGGTAATGACTGTGTAATAATAGAGTAATACCACCATGGTAATGACTGTGTAATAATAGAGTAAGACCACCATGGTAATGACTGTGTAATAATAGAGTAATACCACCATGGTAATTACTGTGTAATAATAGAGTAATACCACCATGGTAATTACTGTGTAATAATAGAGTAATAACACCACGGTAATTACTGTGTAATAATAGAGTAATACCACCATGGTAATTACTGTGTAATAATAGAGTAATAACACCACGGTAATTACTGTGTAATAATAGAGTAATACCACCATGGTAATTACTGTGTAATAATAGAGTAATACCACCACGGTAATTATTGTGTAATAATAGAGTAATAGCACCACGGTAATTACTGTGTAATAATAGAGTAATAGCACCATGGTAATAATTGCTGTGTAATAATAGAGTAATACCACCATGGTAATGACTGTGTAATAATAGAGTAATAGCACCATGGTAATTACTGTGTAATAATAGAGTAATACCACCATGGTAATGACTGTGTAATAATAGAGTAATACCACCATGGTAATGACTGTGTAATAATAGAGTAATACCACCATGGTAATGACTGTGTAATAATAGAGTAATAGCACCACGGTAATTACTGTGTAATAATAGAGTAATAACACCACGGTAATTACTGTGTAATAATAGAGTAATACCACCATGGTAATTATTGTGTAATAATAGAGTAATAACACCACAGTAATTACTGTGTAATAGTAGAGTAATAACACCACGGTAATTACTGTGTAATAATAGAGTAATACCACCATGGTAATTACTGTGTAATAGTAGAGTAATAACACCACGGTAATTACTGTGTTATAATAGAGTAATAGCACCACGGTAATTACTGTGTAATAATAGAGTAATAACACCACGGTAATTACTGTGTAATAATAGAGTAATACCACCACGGTAATTACTGTGTAATAATAGAGTAATAACACCACAGTAATTACTGTGTAATAATAGAGTAATAACACCACGGTAATTACTGTGTAATAATAGAGTAATAACACCACGGTAATTACTGTGTAATAATAGAGTAATACCACCACGGTAATTACTGTGTAATAATAGAGTAATACCACCACGGTAATGACTGTGTAATAATAGAGTAATACCACCATGGTAATTACTGTGTAATAATAGAGTAATACCACCATGGTAATTACTGTGTAATAATAGAGTAATACCACCATGGTAATTACTGTGTAATAATAGAGTAATACCACCATGGTAATTACTGTGTAATAATAGAGTAATACCACCATGGTAATTACTGTGTAATAGTAGAGTAATAACACCACGGTAATTACTGTGTAATAGTAGAGTAATAACACCACGGTAATTACTGTGTAATAATAGAGTAATACCACCATGGTAATTACTGTGTAATAGTAGAGTAATAACACCACGGTAATTACTGTGTAATAATAGAGTAATAGCACCACGGTAATTACTGTGTAGTAATAATCTAGTAATAACACCATGGTAATAACAGTGTAGTAATAATCTCGTAATAACACCCATGGTAATAATGTAGTAATAATTAGTAATAACACCATGGTAATAACATGTGTAATAATCTAGTAATAACACCATGGTAATAACAGTGTAGTAATAATCTCGTAATAACACCATGGTAATAGCAGTGTAGTAATAATCTAGTAATAACACCATGGTAATAACAGTGTAGTAATAATCTAGTAATAACAGTGTAGTAATAATCTAGTAATAACACCATGGTAATAACAGTGTAGTAATAATCTAGTATAAACACCATGGCAGTAACAGTGTAGTAATAATCTAGTAATAACACCATGGTAATAACAGTGTAGTAATAATCTAGTAATAACACCATGGTAATAACAGTGTAGTAATAATCTAGTAATAACACCATGGTAATAACAGTGTAGTAATAATCTCGTAATAACACCATGGTAATAGCAGTGTAGTAATAATCTAGTAATAACACCATGGTAATAGCAGTGTAGTAATAATCTCGTAATAACACCATGGTAATAGCAGTGTAGTAATAATCTAGTAATAACACCATGGTAATAGCAGTGTAGTAATAATCTAGTAATAACACCATGGTAGTAACAGTGTAGTAATAATCTAGTAATAACACCATGGTAGTAACAGTGTAGTAATAATCTAGTATAAACACCATGGTAATAACAGTGTAGTAATAATCTAGTAATAACACCATGGTAGTAACAGTGTAGTAATAATCTAGTATAAACACCATGGTAGTAACAGTGTGAGCTGCAGCAGCCCCATCTGAGATCGGAGTGAGGACAGACAAATCCTGCTGACCCAAATCTACTGAGTACAGACAGTGGGAACACACATGACAAGGACACAGACTGTACAGTACAGGAGGTGTAAAGCACACTGACACACAGAATATCATTGATAGGATGAAAAATAACTGACCCTGTGTCAGTTGTTAGGGGAAACCTCTACCTACATATACAGGTGGCCTGGGCATTGAGACAGGATGTAGACAAGACAGTGGTACAAAGACACAAATAAACAGACAGACAGACTGGTACATAGACACAGATATAGACAGACATGGGTGTGTGTGAGGTTAACCCTTACCTGTCCGCTGGTCTGCAGGTAGAGCACTAGAGGATCAGTCTTGGTGACAGCCACCCAGGTCTTGTTCCAGGTCTTGCCCTTCTCCTGCACCTGCAGCTGGCCACACAACAGACAGTTGTCCCCCGACAGAGACACCTGCTTCTGGAGAGACAGAAACACACACAGGAGGCAGAGTTAAAGGCACAATCCCAAAGTTGATCTACTGCAGTGGGTGCCAATACTCAAATAATATTCCACAGTTCAACACAAATACAGTAGCTCTTTCCCCATGCACAAACCAATGTTTGGAATTCACTTTCACTATCAATTCAAAGTGATAATCAGCCTGGACGTTTAAGGGGCACTCAAGGATAAAGGTCTGGTACATTCTCTTACATAACAAACCTAGTGTCCAGCATGTTGGACAGATTTATAGAGAGATTTGGACATGGACCAGTGTTCATGCTGCTGCCCCGCTGTTACTGATGTGGTGCTGTAGCCCCCTTGGTCAGAAATAATACCACTGCAGATCACTGCCATTACGGTACTGCTACTGCGATAGATATAGTGTGTGTGTGTGTGTGTTTGTGTGTGAGACAGTATGACCCCAAGACAGACAGCCAGACCGGCTCAATTGAACCAGATTAGACTGCTCAGCTGTTGCGTCATACACATGAAGTGGAGCAGAGAGACTGCTCACTCAGCAGAGTCTGCTGCTTTCCACTAAGCCCCTTAACTAGTCATGAGAGAGGGAGATCGTTTCTTAGTAGTTTCTCTTACAGCAGCATTGTGAGTTTGATAGACATGGATAATGATACTGCAATAAAACAATGATATTCCATTAGAAAGATATTATTCAGTGTTGCCTACAGGCTTTAAGACACAACGATCTGCTTCATCCAGTCTCTGTTATGTGCTGTGCTCTACAAGGCAGTCTGTTGAACACTAGTTCACGGTGACTCCTGGTACACACACAGAGATGGATCTTATTGAGCCGTGCAGACTATAGACTGTGTGTGCCACTGTTCTATCTCTCTAGTGTGTGTGTGTGTGTGTGATTGATAGAGGTGCACGATGCTCTGTGGGGCTGTCTGGGCTGAGCTCTGTCTTCTCTGTCATACTGGGGCGACTAAGGTAATTATGCCACTCTCCAGAGGCTGGAACTGAGACAGTGTGCCCGCTGCCAACCTCCATACTCCAACCCCCTTCTTCAGACCTGCTCTGCTGGGAGTCCGCTCTTGGCAGCCTGTCCATGCTAGCTTCTCAACAACACTGTGCCATATACAATAAGTATGATGTATGATTGTCTTATGATATTTGTGAGGGGTAGCCAAAAGCAAGTCTCTGGATGGAACATTTGTTTAAATGAAGTTATATTCTACTCTTTTCTATAGTATAAGCTGAGAGTCGGTCCTCACCTCGGCTTTCCTCTTCAGCTCTACTGGGGCCCCTGCAGTCCCCTCAGGGCCCTGGCTCATCTCGAAGCACTCCGGACACACGCGACACGTCTTGTTCTCCAACATCTTAGAGCATTTACCACAGATGGCCTGCAGAGGGAGGGAAAGAGCAAAAGAGGAAGAGAGGGAGGAATGGAGGGAGAGAAAGAGATATTTAGACAACTGAAAATCAATTATACAGGACATCCACTGGTGAAAATGCAGCATACTGGCACTAACTGTTCCCGCCCCCACCCTCCTCCCGCCCTCCTCTCCCTCTCTGTGCTCACCGCTCCACAGGATTTGCAGTGGTGCTTGCGCTTGGTGAAGTTGAAGCTCTCGTTGCAGCCTTTACATGTCTGCTTCTCCTTCTCCTTCTTCTTTGAACTTTTCTGGAAAACAGAGAAACACATACAAACAATGTATCAAGATCTGTCCAATCACAAGGTCATCTCGTCTCAATACATCTTTGTGTTACCTAAGTAACCCTGAAATAGTTGGGTGAAGGGGCCTATGAGGGCCCTTTCTCTCTCTATCTCGCCATTTGCCCACTCTCTCTGTTATCTCCCCTATTCTTTCTCTCCCACTCCCAACATCTTCCTCTATAACCGGAAAATGAAAATCGAAGCCCTCCTGTTGCTCTCTCAGACTGGGGCATCGGTAGCACCACCAGCCGTTTAGCACATTCGTATTGTGGGAGGGAGTGTGAAATTCACCCCCTGATCGTGTCTCATCTCTCCACAGACACCCCTCACCGCTACTAGAGAGTGAGCTAGTGATGCTATCCCCATAGAGAAGACAACTTGCTATATATACCTCTCTGCAGCCTACTGTGTGGATTATAGATCCACACAGTCTTGTTACCTCAAACAAAGACAAGACATCCAGGCTTTAGAATAGGAGAGATCAATGTACTTCTTGTTATGAACTCAGTCATTCATGGTACACTGAACTCACATTCTATTGCCCATTGTATGGTTTCTATTTTAATGTGGTGCAATGCCATTGACACTGTAGCAAATAAATATACATTATCTTCCAATCAAAAGCATAGTCAGTAACACAACAGCAGGCTATAGAGCCTGAGGAAATGTATTGTATAAGGACGTTTGACACCTACCCTTTCTTGCAGTCTTTCACTGTCTGAGTCTATGGATGTGTTGCTCCAGGGACCCTGAGAAGAGAAGAACATGAATACACGATCAGAGTGACATATTTAACCCTGGGAGAGATGTATGAGTTACATTGAAAGTACATCCATTGTTATTACACGGCTAGCACTTAACTTCAGGTGTCAACATATCACTGACAAAGCACTCTCACACAGTGCCAGAGAATGGGAACAACAGCCTCTGAATATTACCTAAAGCTGCTGTGTGTGTTTGTCCCCACTAGATGGCAGCCAGGCCTCAGAGACAGACAATAGGTCTGGCGTGTGTTCCTACGTTGGCCTGTGTCCAGGTCCAGCCAGCCCAAAGTGGGTCATTGGAGATTCAGAAGAGATTTGTGTACAGTGTGCATGGGGGCTTCCCCTATTAGGTTATGAGAGAGTGCCGAGGGAACTAAAGACAGACCATGACAGAGTGTGTGTGCGTTTGTGAGTGTGTGCGACTGTCAGACACTGAGAAGAAAGAGCTCCTTTATAAGTACGCGTGTGTGTGTGTTTGTGTGTGTATGTGTGAGTTAAGTAAGAGCTTCTTTGTGTGTCTGCAGCGAGAGGCACATGACACACACGGCTGTGTGTGTGTGTGCATGCTGTGTGTGTGTGTGTGTGTGTGTGCGCGTGTGTGAGGATAGCTGCTTTGTCAGACAAAGGCCTGAGTGTGACACACTTTCTGACCAAGCCATAGTGCCTTCATATTGATATATACACGCATAGTGCAGGTTGACGCATGGCTTGACAGAGAGAAACAAAGAAACAAAGAAACAAAGAAAGAAAGACAGACAGACAGACAGACAGACTGACTGACCGGTGAGTCTGGCAGGTGGTCTTCGTCCCTGGAGAAGGAGCTATTGAAGGCTTTGTTAAAGGTCTCACTGTTCTGCTTGTGCTTCTCTATGGTGGCCAGGATGACCTGGGAGTGGAAGGGATGGGGAAGAGGGAGACAGGAGAAGATGGAGGGGAGAGAAGGAGATAAGCCATTAACAGAGGCCCGCAGTTTCAGACAGTTAAAATATTCTTCACTGGTTTACAATAAAGGTGAAGAGGCAGTGAAGTCACTGATGTTATAATGGTAGAAATTCTATGACAACCTACAGCCCCTTCGGAGAGAGAGAGAAAGAGAGAGAGAGAGAGAGAGAGAGAGAGAGAGAGAGAGAGAGAGAGATGAGATGGCTGCTGTTTTACGGGCTCCTAACCAATTGTGCTATTGTTTGTGTTTTTTCGCGTTATTTGTAACTTATTTTGTACATAATGTTTCTGCCACCGTCTCTTATGACCAAAAAGAGCTTCTGGATATCAGGACAGCGATTACTCACCTCGTACTGGATGAATAAAAAAATTTTAGCGAGTCGGACGCAAAGGATTTACTTCAGACACCCGACAAGGCCCAAATCCCCGTCATTCGCAGGAGAAAGAGACGGAGATATCGGGGACGTAGGTCGGGGTGCCTTGTAAGGATCCAACGGCGAGTGGGTAATCTGCCTCTACCATCAGTCCTATTAGCCAACGTAAAATCATTGGATAACAAAATAGACGAGCTACGATCACGAATATCCTACCAACGGGACATTAAAAACTGTAATATCTTATGTTTCACAGAGTCGTGGCTGAACGACGACATGGATAACATACAGCTGGCGGGGTTTACGCTGCATCAGCAAGATAGAACAGCTGCCTCCGGTAAGACAAGGGGTGGCGGTCTGTGTATATTTGTAAACAACAGCTGGTGCACAAAATCTAATATTAAGGAAGTCTCTAGGTTTTGCTCGCCTGAGGTAGAGTATCTCATGATAGCTGTAGACCAAACTATTTACCAAGAGAGTTTTCATATATGTTTTTCGTAGCTGTTTATTTACCACTACAAACTGATGCTGGCACTAAGACTGCACTCAATGAGCTGTATAAGACCATAAGCAAACAGGAAAACGCTCATCCAGAGGCGGCTCTCCTAGTGGCCGGGGACTTTAATGCAGGGAAACTTAAATCTGTTTTACCTAATTTCTACCAGCATGTTAAATGTGCAACCAGAGGAAAAAACTCTAGACCACCTTTACTCCACACACAGAGACGCGTACAAAGCTGATTGTGGACTACAGGAAAAGGAGGACCGAGCACGCCCCCATTCTCATTGACGGGTCTGTAGTGGAGCACGTTGAGAGCTTCAAGTTTCTTGGTGTCCACATCACCAACAAACTATCACGGTCCAAACACACCAAGACAGTCGTGAAGAGGGCACGACAAAGCCTATTCCCCCTCAGGAGACTGAAAATATTTGGTATGGGTCCTCAGATCCTCAAAAAAGTTATACAGCTGCACCATCGAGAGCATCCTGACTGGTTGCATTACTGCCTGGTATGGCAACTGCTCGGCCTCCAACCGCAAGGTGCTCCAGAGGGTAGTGCATCCGACCCAGTACATCACTGGGGCCAAGCTTCCTGCCATCCAGGACCTCTATACCAGGCGGTGTCAGAGGAAGGCCCTAAAAATGGTCAAAGACTCCAGCCACCCTATGTAATAGACTGTTCTCTCTGCTACCACACAGCAAGCGGTACCGGAGCACCAAGTCTAGGTCCAAAAGGCTTCTTAACAGCTTCTACCCCCAAGCCATAAGACTCCTGAACAGCTAATCAAATGGCTACCCGGACAATTTGCATTGTCCCCCCACCCCCTCTTTTACGCTGCTGCCACTCTCTGTTTATTATCACTTTAACTCTACCTACATGTAAATATTTCATAAATTACCTCGACTAACCTGTGCCCCCGCACATTGACTCTGTACCGGTACCCCTGTATATAGCCTCCCTACTGTTATTTTACTGATGCTCTTTAATTATTTGTTATTTCTTTGTATTTTGTATTTTTTTTTACTTATCTATTTTTTACTTAACACTTATTTTTCTTAAAACTGCATTGTTGGTTAAGGGCTTGTAACTAAGCATTTCACTGTAAGGTCTACACCTGTTGTATTCGGCACATGTGACAAATACAATTTCATTTGAGAGAGAGAGAGAGAGAAGAGAGAGAGAGAGAGGAAAGAGAGAGAAGAGAGAGAGACTCTAGAATATACTACGAGAGAGCGCGCAGTCGATATAGCTAGATGAATCGGATCGACGACTCTCTCCCCGCTGCTCTCTCTCCTCTCTTTCGCGCTCTCTCTCTCTCTCTCTCGCTACTCGCCTCTCGCTCTCTCTCCTCTTACTTTCTCTCTCTCCCCCTCATGCTTCTCTCTCTCTCTACTTCTTTCTCATGAGAGAGAGAGAGACTACCACTGGCCTGTTAACATAGATTAGACAAAGAGAGAGACTGTGCTGTCGTCTGGACTGACCCTGTTATACAGAGATGACATCAGCCATGACATCAGAGGGCCAAATGTATCACGGACCTCTGATCCAGCCCAGTGGTCTGTGTCAGAGACTGGCCTCTCTACTGCACTAACAGAGTGTATGTGTGTGTGTGTGTTTGTGTTTGTGTGTGTGTGCGTGTGTAGTGGGCACTGTATTCACGTGTGAATAATAGACTCTGTGTATGCACAATCTTTGTGCCCCCCTCTCCAAAGTATAAAGACTACACATTCCTCTGTGTCCTTCAGATTGCTGAAGGGCTCTTCCACTCCTTTCCAAACACTCCCAGACCCACTGCCTGGCACACACCCCTCCCCTCCAGCCTATGAGCCCTTTTAAATCAGCTTTAGTCAGCTTTAATGGGCTAAATGAGCTTTAATGAGCAGCTTAATGAGTATGGCAGTGTGGAGGAAAGCCTCCCTAATACAAATACTGTTCCTAATACAGTGTAACTGTGGAGGCACAAATCCCCTATAAAACCCATTCCATGTTAGTGTTATGTTTCACAGAGTCGGAGTGGATGAATAAAAAAATATTCTGGTATTCCTGACCTGTATCCAGTCTTCCTTTTCCTCAGCCGTCCTGAAAAACAGAGGGAATGTTTCAACAACAGCCCTATAGCTATCAATACATCTATGTGTTCTAGCATGTGCCTGAAATGTTGTGTTTCCGTTACCAAAGGCACAGTTCTACAGTTCTCCCATGTAATCGCTCCATAGTTCTTACCTGGCCTGTAGCTCTAGTGAGCGCTGCTTGCCGATGATTGCGAACGTGTGGGGGAGGTTCTGCTTCACGTTCTCCTGCACCTGAAGCCGCAGAGGAGAACAGTGCCACTTTTACCTCTGAGGCACTAAAGAAGAATGTCCCTTCTATGCGTCACCCATTCAGAATGGAACAAAATAAGTAACAAGAGAAGAGAAGATGAGTGCCTTCTGTTACCTCCTTCCTGACCTCCATCCCAGCGATGTCAATCCTCTCTCTCACACTGAACTTCTGCGCCATCAGCCTCAGCTTGGGAACGCAGTACAGCACCATGTTGTTGAACTGCAGCACGGACACACAGAGAGAGGGGAAAACGGATGAGTATACACAGTAAACAGACACACACACACACATACACACTTTGATATAGTCATCCCATTCCTACACATTCTCTCCATTCCAACTCCTCCTGCCACTCACCAGGTAGAGGTATCGGTCCTGGGCCGTCCCATTCTTGGCAGACATCTTCTTGATGTGTCCTTCTTTGATGAGCTCGTTGGCTGGGTTCACAATGTCCTCCTCTCCCCCAAGTCTCTCATAGACCTGCAGCAGTTTGTTCATCTTCTCCTGAGGAACACCAAGGATAAGGAACCATGTGAAACACACACATACAGAGCAGATGGAACATGATAAAATTATACATGTATATAAGTCAGGGGAAGCTATTGGAGGAGCTATTGAACTAAAACTGTTGAGACAAAATAAGACATGATAAGTCACACACCAGAGGGCAGAAGTGTGACTGTGTGTGTGTCAGAGACAGCCGTCAGTCTTCCGCAGGCTGTGAAACTAGTGGCAGGAAACGGCAGCTTCCTGTCTGCACTAAAGCACCCTGCCTCCCTCCCTCCCTGTACGTTGTCGCAACCAACGCAGTTTGGACAGTGAAGGACGCTGGCTGGCTAGTTCTGCAAGCTATTCCCAAGGAGAGCAACCACTGCCATCTGGAGGACTATTCAAATGTATTGTATTTTGTTCTTTGCACAGTCGTTTCATTATTTTGGACATGTGATGTTTACTACAATTCAGTTTTTAGCTGTGAATGTGTAACATGTTTGATGTTTTAAGAGGACCACAATGGAAAAAAATATTCATCAACAAATGTTTCAATGCGTTGTATCCACGTTTGTTGTTGCATTGTTTTTTTAAATTGTCAAATAAATAAAATCAATGAATCAATCAAAACTCCCTCCCTCTCCCTCCCTCATACACTGTCGGGAACTACAACATCCCCACCATGAAAACCATAAAAAGTAGGAAAAGTATGTCAAAGAGATTCACAGGTGGAGGGAACAGAGAGGGCTCCAAGCAGAAAAAAACATAATCTTACCATTTTCCTGATGGCAGCATTGGAGTGGTTGGCTGCTGTGGATATGAGTTTCAGGGCCTCTATAAAACACACACAGACAGTGTTAGTGTTACTGCAGCAACTCTACATAACCATGCATCAGCCCTACACATTTGAAACACTCACTGTTTATACACTGAGTGCACAAAACATTAGGAATATTGAGATGCACCCCCTTTTGCCCTCAGAACAGCCTCAATTCATCAGGGCAGGGATTCTACAAGGTGTCGAAAGCGTTCCACAGGGATGCTGGCTCATGTTGACTCCAAAGCTTCCCACAGTTGTATCAAGTTGGCTGGATGTCCTTTGGGTGGTGGACCATTCTTGATACACACGGAAAACTGTTGAGAGTGAAAAACCCAGCAGCGTTGCAGTTCTTGACACACTCAAACCGGTGAGCCTGGCACCTACTACCATACACCGTTCAAAGGCACTTACATATTTTGTCTTGCCCATTCACCTTCTGAATAACAAGTGACATCAATAAGGGATCATTGCTTTCACCTAGATTCACCTGGTCATGGAAAGAGCAGGCGTTACTAATGTTTTGTACACTCATTGTCTATACGACTCGTAGTAATTGCATTGAATACTGTGACAAATAGGTCAGTGTCTAGCCTTTCACTGCAGCCAGCCTGTACACCATCATACTATAGGCCTACTGTAAATGACCATACATCAAACATATACAATGTTTGTGTTACACAGACAGGGAGACAGTGTTAGGCCTCTCATAGCATGTACATTACCCAACATCAGAGACACACATTCTACATTAAACACACACTGCATTAAAGTCATTAACTACATAAACAGAGCTGACGTTCCCCTCTACATGACCAGTCCTAGGAGAGTCCTGGGCCTCTACTAAACCGACTACTGACACCACGGTAGATTATGTAGGCTTTACCTAGACATTACTTCAAACAGGGACAATGTACAGTACAAGGTTATGGTAAGGTCACAAGACATGGAGCTTGTAGAGTGGCTAGTATGGTTCCTAGTGAGGGACAGACAGACAGACAGACAGACAGACAGACAGACAGACAGACAGACAGACAGACAGACAGACAGACAGACAGACAGACAGGTAATGAGTGGTGAGCCGTGTGTAGGCACAGACAAACAGACAGACAGACAGACAGACAGACAGACAGACAGGTAATGAGTGGTGAGCCGTGTGTAGGCACAGACAAACAGACAGACAGACAGACAGACAGACAGACAGACAGACAGACAGACAGACAGGTAATGAGTGGGTGAGCCGTGTGTAGGCACAGACAAACAGACAGATAGACAGACAGACAGACAGACAGGTAATGAGTGGGTGAGCCGTGTGTAGGCACAGACAAACAGACGGACGGACAGGCAGACAGACATACTCTCTGTGTCCTTCCTGTCCAGTGCATCGTCAGGCAGTTTCTTTAGATAGTCCTTGAGCAGGAGTTCATAGCGAGGAATCCTCTGCACAGGCTCCAGCATGTGGTGCTGGAGAGTCAGGTTCCCACACACATCCTGCTTCTGTAGGGATAGCAAACACAGCAAAACACTTACACATACAGTACAGTAAAACAGGCCTACTACATACTGCAGGTACACTACACTGTAATGCACAGATAACAACAGCATACGTTACCATAAATAAACACTGATTCTGTGGGAGAGATGCCACTTACTTGTATGTTCTGGACCACACTCTTGAACTGTGATGACCGCTGGCTCCAGGTGTTGACCAGGTCCATAGCACGGTCAAAGTTCTTCACGTACTCTCCGTACATCTTCATAAACGGAGCCAGCTTCTGGAGGATGTCTCCAATACGTGGGTTTGAGTCCCTAACACACAGACCACACACCCGCCCACATGGCTTAAAACTCAGTCAATGTGCTAAAAAAAGGTTCATGGTACTGTACTCTGAACTTAAGAGTATACTTGTAGTACACATTCCATTCAATGTAAAATTACAATATGGAATTCACAGAAATAGTAACCTACAGTACATTTACTCTATAATGTGCGCAGAATGTGACAGGTGGAATCGCTCTACATAATTTGTATGAGACTCAATAATCTCTAGACAGAGAAAGACTAGCGTTGGCACACACACACTTTTGGTACATTTCCTCCCAGCAGATGAAGACAGGCAGATAATGCCCCCATTCTACCAGGCTGGCTCACACACACACCAAACCTCCGCCCCCAACACAACCCACTGCCCAGCAACAACCCCCCCCCCTCCCACTGCAACCCAGCTGTCAGAGTTCTGCAGCCAAAACACAACTGACCACCGCAGAATTATCACTATTCAGTAATGAGAGAGAAGAGCGAGAGAGAGAGAGAAGGATCTAAGCAGAAACCCAATATCACGTAGGTGTTGTTTGTAGAAGATTGAGCATCTTACTGCCCAAAGAGTCTTGATCTTACCACTGCTAATAGAACTATATAACGTTACTGAATCCCTATTATGACATTGTCCCTGGTCTCCTCACCATTCTCCAGTGATGCGTGTCTTGAGCTCAGGGAGCAGGAACTTGTGGTGAAAGCAGTAGATGGAGGATATGTTGGAGAAGATCCCCGTTATCACGTCTTGAGGGATTCCAGCTTCTGTCAGCTTAGTGCAAAATACCTACAGACAACAGGAGAATAATGGTAGAAATCATATTAAACACACAGTAATATTACTAACCACATTACTATAAATTATATAACAAACCATGGGCTCTTTGATCAAATAATATTGTTTTATAGGGGGATGTTTATGATGTTTACATCTGTCCGTCATCACCAGGTCCATGACCTTTCACGTCCTTGTCAGTCACCCAACCACAGTTGGGTTTCCATGGCAAACGGTACCACTGTGAGGGAGCAGAGGCTTGACAAAAACAGGAAGCAGCTCTGAGATTAGCCTACTGTCTGTGCCAGTACATCTCCTTTTGTCTGTAGTCATGTCTGTGATTGTCACCCTCAACAACAAATATGTATATCTCACACCAGATGTAAAACACTATGAATATGGCCCAACCCGGGAGGAGTAGGCCTTCATTAAGGACAAACTGTATGTGTGTATGTGTGTTTCCATAACTGGGTGTGTATGTGTAGCACATGGAGATATGTGAAACCTACTCCTCAGCCTTCAGTGTCCACATTTGCGCTGCTCAAGAGCTAGCGACCGGTAGAGTCTGTGGGAAGGTGACAGAGGTCCCACTTGAGGGCCAGAGTCATGTGCGAAGAGCAAGGAGCTCGAGATAGCGCTATGTCTTGCATGATGGTTGTTTTTAGTCAACCCAGTGTGTGTGTTGTCAACCTCACAGGAGGTTTTCCGCAGTCTCTAGACTATATGGCCTAACCCGGAGGAGGCTTCTTAAGGACAATTCTGTTTGATCTGGGTTTCCATACTGGGTGAGTAGTGAGGACACAAAGTCAAACATCCCTTAGACCTTCATACCACATCAGACACCTTGAAAGCTCACTACACAACAGTCAGAGCGCATGAATAGAACATTTTGCAAAGCAAACAGTCAGACCACCTTAGACATATCCGATCGACAAAGTCGAATCCCTAAACACTCAACTCACAAACGCGAACGTCCCATTGAATAGTTATTTCAAGATAACACAACCCCACGTGTGTAGAAAGTTGATACAAACATGTACCTAGGTGGTCCTGGACTAAGGCCTCCTGCAGTGTAAGTGCAAGAGACTCCTCGTGGCGAATCAGTACCTTCGGGCTCGCACTGAGGGAATAGGGGGACGACAAACATGCCAGCGCGCCCCATATGGAGAACGACTCAAACAGGCCGGCAGGGATGTACTCGTATAGAGAATGCCTTCAACGACCAGGTGATTGACCTCCCAGGGGCAGTACACTATAAAAAAAAAGTCACCATATAGTCTGGATACAGACGTCGCAAATCAGTAAATTAATCCATATGAATACACTCAACTACACAAACAGTCAGAACCATCCCATATAGAATACACTCAACTACACAAACAGTCAGAACCATCCCATATAGAATACACTCAACTACACAAACGTCAAACATCCATAAATCCCAATAAAACACTCAACACCACATATCGAGAACATCCCAAGAATACACCAACGTACAAAACCATCAAGAATACCCATATAACAAATCAACTCATTAGAACTTACATAACTAAACATTTGCCTCCGGGCCTATGACCTTTGAGAGAGAATATCAGCAACATTAGGGCCTGTTGGTGAAAGCAACCAAACTCTAACCAGTGATTACATACAAAGATAAAAGTGGTCTGAAATGGGGTTGTCCGCTGGCGCTCTTTTCATCTCGGTTGTTGAGGGAAACTGGGCCAACCTCATAATGTGTCAGTGCATGTTGCAACAGTCGGCAGTCAGTGCTGCTTTACTGAGAGCTGAGTTAGTCACCAATACTGTCTTTACTAGTGGAGCTGAGATAACATGTAAGGTGTTGCGGATGTGTATTCAGTTGGACTACTTCGGGAACAGGGATTAACTTAATGGATGAAATGACATTCCTGTGACGTGACTGAGACCAGTCCTCAGTGTACTACATTGTGACATTGTGTTTTGCAACAGCCGTCTGGTACACACAGACATGCACGCACTAAACCAAGACATTTGAGGAAATTGTGAAACATACACTCTTAGAAAAAAAGGTGCTATCTAGAACCTAAAAGGGTTCTTCGTCTGTCCCCATAGGGGAACCCTTTGAAGAACCCTTTTCGGTTCCAGGTAGAACCGTTTTCTCTTTCAAGTATTTCATTTTTTAAGCAGAAGACAAAACTAAACATGTCACCTGGTGGCAGAAAAGCCACACAACATTAGTAAACAACAAAACAATACAAAACAAAACAATTGACAGCAAAAAGGAAGCAATACAAGTGAAAAAGTTTGAGTCCTTTTGGTTTCAGGTGGAACCCTTTTGGGTTCCATGTAGAACCCTTTCCGCAGAGGGTTCTACATGGAACCCAAAAGGGTTACACCTAGAACCAAAAACGGTTCTACCTGGAACCAAAAAGTGTTCTCCTATGGGGACAGCCGAATAACCCTTTTGGAACCTTTTTTCTAAGAGTGTACAGTAGAGATATGTCCACAAACAAGCACACATGCACATACTGTAAGCATGACACACACATGAACACACTCACACTCACTCACAAACACATACAAACACAAACAATATATCTATATATCTAATCTATTTCTGTAGCAGACAATGCTAAACACTGAAAGAAGAGAAATACATGTATTTCTTTTCCTGTTGCAATGTGCATCCCCAAAACCCACATCCTCTGTGACATTAAAAAGTTGTCAACATGTCAGCTATTAGTGTCAGAGAAGTAGTACATTTACATTTATGTAAATAAGTAGTACTGTTCCCTCAACACAACTTTCCTCTGGGCAGTAATGCTGACATCAGGAAACATAGGATACCAGAGATCCCTTTGCCCATTAGGCAAAGGGTGTGGGCTGCCAATACAGGGCGTGTGTGTGTCAGTGTGTGCTCATGTGTGTTTGGTGTGGTGCCTAGGTACCGGGAGTGTTGGGCTGTGCCCCATTATAACAATGCTGAGGGGATAAAAACAGTTCTGCTGACACCCATGATGACTGTACTGTGCCAACATACAACAACTCTAACCAGTTTCAGCTCCTACTCACACACCCGTCTCTTTCTCTTTCACACACTCCTTTTCATCACACTCTCTCACTATTCTGGCTCTCTATTTTTTCTCGACCTCCTTTTCTCCCTCTCTCTATTTTTGTCTGATGTTTCTTGACCTTCCCCCTATCATTTTAGTTCAGTAAATAGACAGTCTTTTTCTGGCAGGGGGTTAAATGAATACCGGTATGATGTGAACTTCTCTGTTTGATGTGTTGGTATCACACTTACACAGATCAATGGTGGAAACAGTAGCTGAGCTGAGTGCATTTTTCTGTCTGTTTCTGTCTGTCCTCTAGCTGCAGTCACCAGCTCCTGTTACAGCCCTGGGCAGGTACGCCTTTCCTCCACACCCCACAGCAGATCCATTATTAGATACGGCAACAGACGCTTGTGACCACCACACACACACTAGTGCGTCTGAAATAGTGTGTCTGTTTGTTTGTGTATAAAAAACACCTAAGTCTAGACAGCATGAAACTGACACAGATAAGAATAGACAGACAGACTACGGTTACTGAACTACGGACTAAGGAGATTGATAAGAATGTGTGTGTGTGTGTGTGTGACTCACCCTGTGTACCTCTGTGTGTGTGTCTGCCTTCTCCCCTCCCTCCGTCTCTCCACTGCTGACCTCATCCAGGTCACTGTCCTCGTCCTGCGTGGAGTCACGCTTGTTGCCCAGGGTTACGCAGCAGGACACGCTAGTCTCTGTCTCCGTGACGCTGTCGTAGCGCTCCTCCTCGTCGATGGCGTCCTCGTTGGGGAACACCTCGCCCTCCGCTGCGCACGATGGGCTGTCGATCCCACTGTCCCGGTTGGGAATCTTTCCGTTCTGCTCCGAGGAGTGTGAGTCCGGATTGTCATGGAGCTCATTGGAAGAGTCTCTCTCCTCCCTCTCCGCGTTGTCAAGGCAACCAACTCCATCACCGTGGACGACGTTGAGGTCGTCCTCTGTAGAGTCGCCGGGGCCGTCGATGCAGAGTGAGGCCAGGCACAAAAGTTCTGTCAGCTCGGTGACCTCATCAGTCCGCTCCGAGACGATAAGTGCAAGTTTGTCGGTTGGGGAGGGTTCCCCAGAGTCCTTTGCTCCTGCTGACCCTGAAGGGGCATGTGCTGTGGGGTCAGGGGCAGAAGGGGCTGGGGTTTTGGATGTGGCGTCCATAGTCAGGTACAGGTGAAGCTGACTCTTCGGAGGGACACCAAGAATTGGAACCCTGGGATATAAAAAAGAAACACTTCACAAAAGAACTGTGAAATTAAACCTTTCTCACGTTTCAGCCTTGGTTCGGCTGAAACCACAACACACCACCGGAACCTAACATTCCCACAGAGAGAAGTGTGAAACACAGGTTGGGTAACAACAGAAGAACATCAGAACATTCCGTGCAAAACATTCAAAGTCCTACTCATACTGTATAACAATAACCACATCATAAATCATCCAACGAAATATAATTATGTATGAACATCTGTCACACCTCCAGTTTTTTTACACACACACACACACACACACAAACACATGCACAAAACATTCATCTGATGCGTCAACAGGGCGAGAGCAACTTGTGGAATACCCTACCCCCTGCAGGACAGTACAGTACCTGGAGTTCTCGAACCTCTCGATGAGCAGTCCCACACTCTGGGCCTCTCTCTGAGGCTGTGTGGCCAGGCCAGGGGGTGTCTGGCTGGGCCGCGGTTTGGGTGGAGGTGGAGGGGCAGGCAGAGGCCTGGAGGGGGCTGGGGGGATCCTCTTGGGCTTCTTGTCCTGTCCGAGGGCCAGCAGGTGGGGGGGTTTAGCGGGCACTGCAGGTCCAGGTCCAAGAAGAGGGGTGATGAAGGGAGGAAGAAGGAAGGAGAGAAAAAGAGAGAGACAAAGTCAGGTCACTGGCGTAACCACGGAAACAGTCCTGTTTCAAGTGCCCCGGTGAGTTCCGAGAGAGAAAGCCTCCATTACTGTATTCCAGAAGGCTGCTGCTGCTACCTACTACAAACTACAAAACCACAGTCCAAATACCACCACAAAAACACAAAATACAATCGCTAAACTCTGAGAGTAGGTTCTCGAACGCAGCGCAGGAGACGGTTCTGCTGCTGCTTCACAGAGCTAAGACAGCTTCCTGATTTCAGAACAGGATATGGAGATGAGTGTGTCTAAGTCACTGTGGTTTCACAGACAGATAAAGAATAAACACGCACACGCAGTCGCACAAATTACAGGCAGAGAGCAGTCCAGAAATAGACTCCTCAAATGGCCGCCCACGCTATCAGAGGCTAAAATGCTACTGTTTGGCTAGCTACTTGTTATAATAAATAATAAATAATACTTGTTATAATACTTGTTATAATATATATAATATATAATAAATAATACTTGTTATAATAATAATACTTGTTCTTAAAACATGGTTACTGCAGAATGCATTTAGAGGACAGTAGGCTTTCTTTATATATTTTATGCAGGCCAGTCTTTGCTGTGTGCTTGGTGTTGTATTAGGACTGAATGAGGAAGCAGGTATTTCTGTGAGGTGTCTCTGCTTCCTTCCTCTCTGAGTGTGTGTGTGTGCAGCTACAGCACAGCAGAGAATGGCAGGCCGTTTCGTGTGGAAACTAAACTGATGTATCAACAGGCAGATAGCATGAGGCTATAGTAGGACTAACAAGGAGTTTTTTTAGAGCCGTCCATGTGTCTATCTGACTGATGTGTTTGTGGGATAAATACTGTAAACGGGTGAAGGGTGACCTGACCAGGTGAAACTGGGGTCAGGCTGATAACACGACTTTACATTGTACCAACACCGTTAGTCAATGGTAATGACATTATTGATATTATGAACAACTAGTAGTAGTGCTGAAATGAGTGATAAACCAACACTGTACCTTGAGGTTTTTGAGAGGTGGGTGTGGCTGTGAGCTGGGGGCGGGGCTTGACTGCAGGCCGGCCGTGACATGGTCTGGGAGGGGGCAGGTCTTTCTTCGCCAGCCGTGGGGAACACAGGAAGTCCACCGATCCACACTGGCACTGTAGAGAGGAGGGAGGGATGTCTGAGAGAGAGAGAGAGAGAGAGAGAGAGAGAGAGAGAGAGAGAGAGAGAGAGAGAGAGAGAAGAGAGAGAGAGAGAGAGAGAGAGAGAGAGAGAGAGAGAGAGAGAGAGAGAGAATATATTAGATTGACTGAGTGCATTACTTCCGTTCACACAACATGCAGGAACGCAACCTGTTCTGAAGGAACACACTCTTAGAAAAAAGGGTTCTGCGGCTGTCCCCATAGGAGAACCCTTTTTGGGTTCCAGGTAGAACTCTTTGTGTAAAGGGTTCTAATTGAACCAAAAGGATTCTACCTGGAACCAAAAGGGGTTCTTCAAAGTGTTATCCTATGGGTACAGCCGAATAACCCTTGTTGGTTTTAGATAGCACCTTGTTTTTCTAAGAGTGCAGTATTACTTTGCCAGAGAGGGAGCAGACAGCCCCTGCATCGATCCTGACACCAGGCCAGGGGAAAGAGAGGAGAGGCTTCCGCCTCAATGAGTCTACAGAGAGCTCTCTGATAGGCCTGCCTATATCTAATACATTTCTACACCCTGATCCTCAATCCTTTTAGACTGTCTGGGAGTGATACTGACCTGTGTGTCTCTTACTTTCTCTCTGTATGTCTGTGTTATCAGGCTGTGTTTTTGAGAAAGTGTGTGAGTGTGTGTCCCTGTATAAGCGCATCACAACCCACTCAACAGAACTACAAACAGATGCACTGTAGGACAATGAGGCCTTTAGCAGCTAGCTAGTTACATCAGGGAATTGTCTGTCAGTGATTCCAATCATGTGATGCCTATAGGGGCTCTTTGAAATCCAGTCAAGTGAATTAAAGTGTGGCCTTTGTAATGAATGCTGTTTTGTGTAATATGTTAGTATGGTCACATAATGTATTGTTTGTGTTTGCGATGAAAGAGGGGGAAGTGTGTGTTTACAGTATATAGTTTACAGTTTAGCAGACGCTCTTATCCAGAGCGACTTACAAGGGCACATCGACAGATTTTTCACTTAGTTGGCTCTGGGATTCGAACCAGCAACCTTTCGGTTACTGGCCCAACGCTCTGTGCCTGTGCGTTTGTGTGTACGCCTGTGTGTGTGTGTGTGCCTATATGCGTGCACCTGTGTGTGTGTGTCTAAGTACTGCTATGTCTTTGTTCCAAGTGCCCTAATCACAGCCTTTGTTTAGACTGGCTGTGTGTTATCGGATGTGGTTCTCCATTAGAGGACAACGATAACCCCAGCAGTAGATTATGATAATCACTATGTAAACTAGCATCCACACTGCTCCATCTCGTGCAGGCTTAGGGCCGGTATCTATTCACTCCACATGCATCTCCAAAGGATTAGTTTGGAGATGGTAGTGAGACCCCTGAGGAGCGCTTCCATGTCTAATTTGGTGTTTTCCAGCCAGTGAAGGCAGAGCTCTGTGAGTCTGTAATAGGTCCTGCTACGCTGTCTGCCCCCATGAGGTCCTGCTGCAGGCTGGATTCCCACCATGTTATACAATTTTACCAAACCACAAAGGGAGGCAGAGAGAGAGAGAGAGAGAGAGAGAGAGAGAGAGAGAGAGAGAGAGAAGAGAGAGCAGGAGAGAGAGAGAGAGAGAGAGAGAGAGAGAGAGAGAGAGAAGAGGCACTTGCTTTGGCAATGTTAACACACGTTTCCCATGCCAATAAAGCCCTTAAATTGAAATTGAATTGAGAGAGAGAGACAGAGAGAGAGAGAGAGAGAGGAGAGAGGAGAGAGAGAGAGAGAGAGAGAGAGAGAGAGAGAGAGAGAGACAGAGGAGAGAGAGAGGAGAGAGAGAGAGAGTTTACATACATCTGTGAAAGACATCTTTTCACTTCAGAAATAAACAGTATCTGTAATACACACAGCCAATAATACGTGCAGCTACTTGGTCAATAGATGTACAGTAGCAAATCCTAAAATAGAGGCCAGTTCTAGTTCTCACTTCCCTACCGTAGCAACAGAAATGGGGTAAATGTAAAGGGGTTACCGTGAATTTGACAGTAATTTACAGGCAGCTGTACACCTACTGTAATATACATATGGTATCAAAGCAAGTACTGTGTAATGACACAGAGTACACTACTGTATTATAATGTAAAAAAGCAAATGCTACCATAATCAGAATGAATGAATGGATGAATGAAATTCATTGAGGAGAGGGGTATTGTATTTTACAGTATTTTATAAGGGATTGTGCAAGCAGGTTAAAGTGTTTACACATTACAGCATATTAATTAATATTTGGTGTTTAATATCACTTGCACTTCTAGAGGCCTTAACAAAGGCTTCCAAACTGGCAGTGACTAAAGGGCAAAACAGACCAAAACGGTATGGCAAAATGCTCAACCATTTGAGGTTTAAGACTAGCTGCCCCTCCAATCTGTCCCCTATACATTTTAAATTGATGGGGCACTATAACCACATAGAAGTTAAATTGGTACAGCATTCCCACTCACGGGTGCTACAAATATAGCCTCTTACAAGGCATGCCTCAAAATATGTTAATGAGCCAGAAACAACAATACCATGAACCCACTAGTGGTCAAAATGTTTTTTGGCGCTCCAAAGATACGTTACTGAAAAACATTTCAGAGTTTTTTTTACGGTTGATAATACCTAACATTACCGTATAAATTACAGTTTTCTGTTACAGTGTAGAGTACATAGCATCCTACAGTCTCCTATAGAGGAAAGCTGATTTTTGCCATTCATCAAAAATAATTGGTCTTGAACATCGTAAAACAGACTCTGGTATCAGCTTTTCTACACCCGATCCTAACCATTATGGGGATGAAATTAAAGCAAGTGGTTAAAGGCAACAACTATCTACTCTGAAGTCGATCAGCTAAACCACTGAGAAACTCTTTGACTCTAGACAGAGGTCAGGTCTTGGGAAAAACAAACAGTCTCTAGTATGCAGACAGTAATGAGACCGATGGTGCCGATGGTGCCATAGGGGTCTGGGTCTATGGAAACATTCCATAGTCATGGTTACCTAAGACCCGCAGATCCAACATCCTAACAGTAAACAGGAACTTGACGACACAGCACCGAGAGAGGAACTACTTCTACCCAACTCACCATAACACTCAACTTCATATACAACTTCATACAACTCTATACAACTATACAACTCTACACAACATTCACTTAAAACTCAACAGAACACTCCCAATTATACTACACCTCTATACGATACCGAAAACTCTTGAAGACCAAAGGTTGTTCTGTTCAATTGAACATTTTCAAGAAAATAATGATAGCGAAACAACAACCTAAATCTGATAAATAGACTGAGCTTATTTTAGGAGTGTTAAAGACAAGAAAATACAAGAACAAGAAAGAAAAAGCTACCGTCTGGTTGAATATTCTGCCTTTCCTTAGATACCAAGAATCCAGTGAACCATTTCAATAGGGAAATCCAACACACCTTCCTTGGTCAACAAAGTAACTCATATTCTCCCAGTGTGTGTGTGTGTATAAGACCGGAAAGCTCTCTGTGCCAGCTCCCTGCACACACACACCTGTAGTTAGGTGTGCTTTAGTCTAACTGCACCTATCTAACCTGCTCTACACACCTGCCCCTGGGCCCAGCTGATGTGTGTGTGTGTGTGTGTGTGTGTGTGTGTGTGTGTGTGTGTGTGTGTGTGTGTGTGTGTGTCTGCACTTCTCAGAAACAGAGACATTTGAATAGTAACCACAAACATGCAGATTATGTGCTTACTATTATGGCAACAGTAGGTAAACAGACTCCCTGATCACCCCTGTCTATGCAACAGTACAGGGCAGGAGCCCAGATCAAACACGACAACAATGATGGTCCACACACTGCATGAACACTAAGGCTATGGGAAAGATATGAACCTCTGTGTCTGTTACTTTGCACACTCCATCAGGTCCTGCTCAGAGTGGCAGAGTGGTATAGTTATGTGCGCACGCACGTGACTAAAAAGAGGGAAATTACAAATCAGAACCAAGGTTATTATAGTAAACTAAAACTAATCATGAAAAAAATATTTGGTAAACTGAAATAAAATAATTAACAAACCCGTTTGAAAAACTAAAATTATACTGAAACTATTATCTTTGACTCCAAAACTAACTAAAATAAAACAAAAACCATCATGAATTATGTTCAGTTTTAGTGTTTTGTTCTTCTAAACTTCGGGCAAATATTTAATGGGGGTTTCAATGGGAAATCCAAATCAGGTCTGAAAAAACAAATATAAAAACACAAAACTATAATAACCTTGATCAGAACATAGCAAACAACTACAGGAAAAACAGCCACTAAACAATGTTTGACACAAACTGAGTAAACTAATTAATTTGCTCACAGAGGGAGAGATGAGATTAACATTCTGTAATTATGAGAATCCATTTAACAGCAATTTAAGTGGATTTCCTCTTCTAAGGTCCAATCATGATGAGGAACAGAGAAATACAACAATTTGCTTCCAAGGACAACCATCACCACAGTGCCCTGGGGAGCAGTGGGTTGCCAGGACGACCTGACTTAGAAGGCCAACTCATCAACGACCATACCCCATCATTATGGACAGGCAAAGGATTGCATCTCCTAGGCAACCTGTTGAATCACCTGCCTGTTCCTTGAGAGTGGAGATGGTGATGTCACCGCCACACACTCCAGTCAGAAGAGAACAGGAGAGATTGGGATGGACTCAGAGAGCACAGAACAACACTAGAGAGAGCAGTAACCTGAAAGACAGCAGTACTGCTAGCGCTTAGGCAGTGGTAAGGTAGTGTGTGTTCGGATACACTGAGGTATTCTGACACTCTTAAGGTATTTGGACTGCGGATATGGAAGCATAAAGGTATTGTATGTGTGTGTGTGTGTGTGTGTGTGTGTGTGTGTGTGTGTGTGCCAGAGGTGACACACTAATATAATGCAACTCTATGGGTGACATAGAGAGGACGATGTGTTGAAAATTTTTTTTTTTTGCAATCCTTGGTCTATCAGATTTCACCTCTAATGACAACCTTTACCCATCTCCTGCATGCACATGTACACACAGGCATTCACATGCGCTGAGAAGTGCAGACACACAATATTCACTCTTCCCCTCCCCCTTTCTCTTGCTGAACACTGAATGTTGAACACACACACACTGCTGCCAATCTCTGTCAGCCCTGAGGCGACCCTGTTGGAGTTGTTTATTACCCACCATCCCTAGAGTAAAGTCTTCCTGCCCCAGTGCTGTCTGGGAGATGGATCACTCCCGACGTGGGAGCGTCTCGTCCGTCAATCACCACTCCCCTGATCCCCCCCCAACCCCCAACCCCCATCTCCCAAACACACAGCTACCCCCACACCTACCAACACTCTGTCTCTCCCCTTCACTCTGTAAGTCAGTACGTCATTCTCTGTGCATCTCTCTCTATATCTTTCTCACAATCTCCCTCTTACGCTGTCTTATCTGCCTCTTCTTCTCTCGTAGACAGTCGTTCTATCCATCTCTCTGTCCACCTTTCCCCCAACTTCCTTCTCTCCACCTCATCCCTCCCTCCCTTTCTCTCTGACCCTGGCCTCTGCTGTCTGTTGTCCTGAAATACAGAGACAGACTGAAACAGACTATCTCCTCTAATGGCACTTTGATTTATAATGGCCATTGATCAGAGCAGTGTTACACAGGCATGCTAACAGAGACACACAGAGACACACAGAGACACACAGAGACACAGTGGATTGCATCCAATCTACTTCTCCATCCTGCCACATTACGCTGACAGCCACACACTCACACGTATGCATGCCCAGCTGTCTAAAACTCAACAGTATGAACTGGGCTCTGTTCTAATTACCCAGTGGAGGCAGTAGAAAGAGAAATGAGTGCATTGGCTGAGAGGGAGAGGAAAGTGTAGAAATGGGGAGAGAAAGTGAAGACTGAAGAAGGGAGAGAGAACCATTATGTCCCCTGTTATATCCCCAGGAGCCTCTATGACAGTGGTTTCTCTCTCTCTCTCCATACTTCTCTCTCTCTCTCCCTCTCTCCATTTCTCTTTCCTTTCTGCAACTCTGAGACAGTAACGAGTGCTCTGACCTTGATGAGTCTCTCACATCTATTCGGCCAAACCCCCTTAATTACACACAGAGACCCATAAAGGAGCTCCACGGGAGACATGTACAGAGATAGAGAGAGACAGACTGGGAAACACATGGAAATACGCACAAAGAGACACACACAGAGGCACACAGATAGACAATGGAAAACACATTGATTGAAATACTGTAAATACACTGAACAAAAACATAAACGCAACATGCAACAATTTCAAAGATTTTACAGAGTTACAGTTCATATGAGGAAATCAGTCATATGAGGAAATAAATAAATTAGGCCCTAATCTATGGATTTCATATGACTGGGAATACAGATATGCATCTGTTGGTCACAGATACCTTTAAAAAAAAAGTAGGGGCGTGGATCAGACAACCAGTCAGTATCTGGTATGACCAACATTTGCCAAATGCAGTGCGACACATCTCCTTTGCATAGAGTTGATCAGGCTGTTGATTGTGGTCTGTGGAATGTTGTCCCACTCCTCTTCAAAGGCTATGCGAAGTGTCTGGATATTGGTGGGACCTGGAACACGCTGTCGTACACGTCTATGCAGATCATCCCAAACATGCTCAATGGGTGACATGTCTGGTGAGGATGCAGGCCATGGAAGAACTGGGACATTTTCAGCCTCCAGGAATTGTGTACCGATCCTTGCGACATGGGGCCTTGGATTATCATGCTGAAACATGAGGTGATGGTGGCGGAAGAATGGCACGACAACGTGCCTCAGGATCTCGTCACGGTATCTCTGTGCATTCAAATTGCCATCAATAAAATGCAATTGTGTTTGTTGTCCGTAGCTTATGCCTGCCCATACCATAATCCCAACGCCACCATGGGGCACTCTGTTCACAATGTTGACATCAGCAAACACTTCTCCAGCGTGCCGGTGGCCATCGAAGGTGAGCATTTGCCCACTGAAGTCTGTTACAACGCCGAACTGCTGTCAGGTCAAGACCCTGGTGAGGACGACGAGCACACAGATGAGCTTCCCTAAGACGGTTTCTGACAGTTTGTACAGAAATTCTTCAGTTGTACAATGGATGTGGAGGTCCTGGGCTGGCGTGGTTACACGTGGTCTGCAGTTGTGAGGCTGGTTGGACGTACTGCCAAATTCTCTAAAACGACGTTGGATGCGGCTTATGGTAGATAAATTAACATTAACTTCTCTGGCAACAACTCTGGTGTACATTCCTGCAGCCAACATGCCAATTGCACGCTCCCTTAAAACTTGTGACATCTGTTACAAAACTGCACATTTTAGAGTGGCCTTTTATTGTCCCCAGCACAAGGTGCACCTGTGTAATGATTATGCTGTTTAATCAGCTTCTTGATATGCCACAGCTGTCAGGTGGATGGATTATCTTGGCAAAGGAAAAAAGCTTACTAACAGGGATGTAAACAAAGTTGTGCCCAAAATTATAGAGAAATAGGCTTTTTGTGCGTATGGAAAATTTCTGGGATCTTTTATTTCAGCTCATGAAACATGGGACCAACACTTTACATGTTGCGTTTATATTTTTGTTCAGTATAGTTTGAAAACACAGAGATTGATAAACACAGCCTGGCACCGGTACTGTACAAGTTAGACAAGCCTTGATCTATAGTATAAGGTCTGGCATGGTTTGCTGTTGGACTGATGTCTACTTAGAACCAGAGCTGTACTGCTTAGAACTGAAGGACAGGATTCATATTCACTAACTAGAGCAGATCTCTACACAAGCGGACACTGCTTCTTACAGCTCAAAAAAAGGGATCTCTATTATCTACACAGGGGAAAGGCTTACAGTGGAAATACAGTACAACAGATGCTCTAGGGACGCAAGGGACATAGAATATGGGCTAGAGCTCTTCCCAATTGATGGCAATTCAGCAGATTTCTCAGTCGAGTACAGTAGACTACAGTACAGTAGAGTGATACTGCTGGTTCAATCCGTGGCTTATCTATACACATACAGATGGAGAAGGATCCCATCCAATCACACAGGCTATAAGTACAGTAACAGCTGGCCTCCCTCAACAGATTACTACTTTGCTTCTGCCCATCCATTCATTTCTCTCCTCCTATCTGTTTGATTTAACCACACGACGTCAGACAGCACCTCTCTCAGACATTTAGACCTAAAACCAGGCTGTGGTTCTCCAGGAATGAGCCATGCCTCAAAGCCTCCATGGTATCATGGCTCCCCAAGCTGCGCTACAGAGGGAAGGGAACGGGGTAAGAGGGGGATCAGGGATAAGTCATCCTGCTCCTGGCCCTGTTAGTCCTAAACCAGGTCAGTGGGCACAGCAGTAGAGATAATCAACCCAGCTCACACATTAAGTCGGAGTATTTCACCAGCTCCCACAGATTAAGATGGAGGGATTTTGGGGGGATGAGAAAGAGGAGAGAGAGGATAGAGGATGAGACAGAAGGAAGGGGAGAGAGAAAGAAATAGAGAGTATGTTTAGAAGGGAGAACGAGGGAAGTGATAGAGGAGGAGAACATTGAAGGGACAGAAAAATCCCCCTCAAGACAAGCTGTAGTTATTATAGAGATCTAAGTGACATGCGGACAATAATAAGCAGTGCTGACACAGACAGACACACACTGTAACAGGAAGCAGTATGTAGGATGCAGGCAGACAGGCAGTAAAAATAGGAAACTTTCACCTTCCACAAGAGGAGCTAGCACAAATAAGGCCTGACGAGTTAATGCTAGAGTGACATCCTCCTTGTGGAGTTGCAGGCTTAATGAAGCAGGGGAAACCAGTGGAACAGGGCATCGTCACGGTAACAGACCAGATGATCCATATTGGTAAGATAGCAGGTGGGTCAGGGAGACTGGGACTACTACCACAGCTGCCCAGTTTCACACTTAGCCTATATATACGGTTAGTTTTCAGCAGGCACTTTTTCAGAAGGACTAGATACTGTAAACACCATGCCTAAACCTTCTGAGCTGACCAGAAACCAACACTTCTACCCAAAGGTGTGTAGAATCTGTTTGCCCTTTAATGAGAAGGCCAGTCCTGTTCTCCTTCACACCTCTACAGGAGAGCAGTGTGGCGTGCAGACACCAAGTACTACGACAAAGCACTCTGTCAAACCAGTAACACACAGCCTCACACACAAACTGCAAGGCACCATCTCATGGGGAAAGAGAGTAAAAATAGAGCCCGGTGTCAGTGCACCGTTCATGTGGTGCGGTGTACAGGAGAGGTCAGATGTATGGGAGGACACAGATCCACCGTGGCGAGATGATCCTCTTCAACAGTGGCTAAAGGGCATCACAGCAGCCTAACATACTCACCAACACACTCCTACCATACGTGATGTCATATCAGAGCACTAAAAAGGTTACGGTGAGTCCACTGTTGCTTCCACGAACTGATGATGTTAAGATTAAGAGTGTGTGGTTGAACACAGAGATGAATCATCATGCATGCTGCTCACCAACCATGATAGATGGATATTACTGTGACTGGAAAACTAGTCCTTTATCTTACGGTGGATTGACATTAGTAAAGAATGTGTAGTACATTGTAGGGTGTCTACCCAGTCTGTCCAATTTCACTTCCTTATGTTCTAAAATACATTTTTACCAAGACAAATATGATTCTTCATGTTCTGAATCGTTCAGTGGGGTCTTTCTCTAACATATCATTAACATTATATCCAAAAAGTCGGATTTCGTAACCTAATACATCCGATAATAAGCACCGAGCTTTGTTGACAGAGCGCTGCACTTTCTCGAAACAACTTTTGAGGATTTTACATGTTGTAGTGGCTGTCTGCAAAGTTGTTTACACGGGTCACAAAAAGTCAAATTAATATGACACAAGCTGAATGACATGTAAAAGGCTTTGATAGTAAAAAGCTTGCGGTACGCTCAGTGATCTGTTGACATTTCGCAAGATACGCTTGTTGTTGTGATAAATCTTTGAAAAATAACAGGAATTTCGCATTAATATTAAAAGCGTATACTAAAATATGGCATGTCTCAAAATCGATATCTATCTTACCGCTATATTGTTTTGTCCTCTGGATTCAAGAAGAAAGATGATGAGTTCAACGGCCTGACCTGGCTACTGGTATAATGCATTTACTTAGAGAGTTAAGTAGTTTAACTGCACAAATGGATTGATTGCACAAATCAGTTGACTGCATGTGTGGGTAACATGTGGGTATGCAGACCCCGAAGCCACTGTGGCCCCTCATGATGAGTTCAGATTTTTTGTGGCC